GTAGAACATTTATTACAAAAAATGCGCTTTGGAAGAGTTATAACCCACCCTTCTCAGTCAGCCTCAGAGAAATGCCTGAGTCTGTGATGACAGAGTACTTTTCATCATGCCTGTATGGATATGAAGGATCACGTTTCTTTTCATTTGGAGACACCTCACATGGAAGACCACTTCTGTACCCTCATATGTAGTCAAGAGTTGGAGGCGGCAATTTGAGAGCAAACAGAGACTGAATAAACCAGGGTATGACTCAAAGTGCTTAAAATTGATTTGGAATAACTCTAAAGCTTTGAAAGGAACTATTTTAAGGGATAAAAATGAAGGTCAGGTTCTACACAGAATGAGTTCATGTCTCAATCAAGAGAAAGAGGAGATAAAGGATGGAAGCTCACCTGAAATATACTCTAGCTGAAATCAGGCAAAAAGTTCAAAGAATAGTAACCTCAACTAAAAAAATTTAAATAAAACCGAAAAATATAACTTACAAAGTAGAAATCTCCCAGAGAAAATAACTGACACCGATTTTATCTATATTCCCCCCCACACATTATACATATGTATATATAGTATTATTATTATTTTTTTAATAAAAGATGGAACAATATATTTGAAACTTTTCCTGCACTTAGTTTACCTAGGACACTTATAAATGTCAGTCTGTTGACTTTATCTTGTCACTTGTAATTGCTGCACAGCATTTTACTAGTGCACGGCCGTAACAACTTATGTGAACTATTTCCTACTGACGGATATCTGGGTTGTTCCCAATGTTTCACTGTTTCAAACAACGCTGAAATGAAGCCTCGTGTTAAAGTATATCTACAATTCCTAGAACGAGAACTGTTGAAACAAGGGGCATGCGTATACTTCCCAATAAGCAACTAGATTTTTATGTAATTTTCTGAAGAAAAAAAATGGGTAATCATTTTTCACAACGTGCTTCATACTCACATGCAAAATTAAAGGGAAATGAAAAGAAATGAAAGGGAAATCAACCCAGCAACAAAGAAGAAAGAAAAAAAGTAACAACAAAAAAGCCTGGTAAATAGGAAACAAAATAAAATGGCAAGAATAAGTCCAAATATAAATGAAATGGCACAAATATGATATATATATAGAGAGAGAGAGAGAGAGAGAGCGAGCTATGAAAAGATAATCTGATTGGATTAAAAGTAAATACACTATTCCATTGACCCGTATGTCTATCTTGATGCCAGTACTACACTGCCTTGATTATTATAGCTTTGTTAAGTCTTGAAATCAGAACTGTCTGTTTAGTTCTGCAGCTTTCTCCTCCTTTTCCCCAGTTGCTTTGTCTATTCTGAATGCTTTGCATTTCCATAAAAATTTTAAAATCAGTTGTCAATTTCTACCAAGAAAGCCTGCTGGGATTTTCATTGGGATTGCATAGAATCTATAGATCAATTTAGAAAGAACTTAAATTTCAACAGTCTCTGGAAGATTCTCAAATATTTGGAAACTAAATAATACACTTCTAAATAACCCTTAGATCAATGTAAAAATAAAAATAAAAATTAGAAAATATTTGGAACTGAACGTGAATAAAAATGCAGCATATCAATTAAAAAAAGGAAACACAGTATAAATGTTAAATATAAAAGACATATCTCTACAATATGAAAAAAGAACACTGCAGGTAAAGGGATGGAAGACAGTATACCGAGCTAATCATGACAAGAAAAGAAAGCAGGCATGGCAGGAACAGACAACAAGAATTCACTTGTTGTATTTTATGTGCTGTAATGGTGTCATGGTTATGGTTTTAAAAAGTCCTTATCTCTTAGAGACTCACACTGAAGTAGTCACAGATTAAATGATACGATGGGTTTGCTTTAAATCTGGGCGTGGGGATGTGGGTGGGGTGGGCAGTAGGTAGGGGTAAGAGTGAAGGGAGATTGGCCATTTGATGATGTTGTTGATGCTGGATAACATTATGGGCTTTATTATGCTAATCTCTGTACTTGTGTAGCTGTTTGAAATTAAAAATAATTTTTTAAAAGAACTCAAGTAGAAAATACATGACAAAAAGGAAGATATATTGTTAAAACTATGAGGTAGTTGGACAAAAACAAAGCATCAAAGTATATAAAGCAAAACCGATAAAAATGCAAGGAGAAATCATGAGAACATTTTACGATTTGTCAGCAGTGGAGGATCCAGCAGAACAGAAGTAGTAAAGATACTGATGAACTAATTATACACTTAGCAAGCCATCCACTTCTCCCCACTCACACACATTCACGTGTATTTGTGCTATGGGAATATTCTTTTACCGTTAGAGAACATATTCATGTGATACTTGGACAATCAAAAATACGTTTAAAAACTGAAAAGCGATATTTATACTGTATTTGGCTGTGGTAAGCTTTTTAAACATACTATGTCGTTCCATCTCACGTAAAACAGTGAGGCTGGTATGAAAGCAAGGGGAGAGGTTCAGCCCTCCGTCCCAGGTCACTGATGTGGTAGGTGACAGTCAGGGCCTGCACTCACCCCTGCTGAAGGCCAGAGCCTTACCACACTGCCTCACACAATTCTTGATAAAGAAGATTCAAGATCACCCGAGCCTTACTTTCAATTTCCTCTCCAAACAGAACACTTACGATTTTAATGATTAAAAATTAGATTTTAGTAGAAAAATGGATGCAGAATACTCTTAAAATGGCCAAAATTTTATCTGAGTATGTCCTCCTGACACCTCATTTTACTAAAAAAAAAAAAAAAAAAATTCTTGTCTGAAGGCTTATCCACTTTATAGGAATTTTCATAAGTATTGTACATAGCGGGTTTTGTTTGCTTGTTTAACGTGATGCAGCTGTTTAAATCCCTGGAATGTGATTTTGTCAGAGAACAGAGTTACTTCACTCTATCTAACTAACGTGTGAGTTAAATAAAGAGGAGGATTTTTTTAGGCCACTGGTATTTCTTCACACTACCAGACATTGCCTCTACAACTTAAGGGAAGATGCACTTTCCTAAATATCCACCAGATGTGGGGCAGCACTTCACTCAGAGGCTGAGGACAACCTGAACAATTCTCTTTATGCAAATGCAAAGTACTTTACTCACCCAATTCGTATTTTCAGCATGCCACTGAATAACTCAGGGTTATTGGAGATGATCCAGCCAATGTGGATGACCAGCTCTTGCTGAAGGACCGCCTCCCTCTCATCATTGGTGTTACACTTGTAATAGATGATGTTCTTAATCACTCTTGGAGACAAAGGATTAGAGATAACCTCTTCTTCATGCCCAAAGGCACCCAGAGTTACCTACAGGTGGCAACATTTTATTGTAAAAATTTCCTAGCTACCAACAGATCAAACTAAAAACATTCAAGGCTCAGGATGACTGGCAGGCTGAAATTACTCTATGCCAGCTAGAGAATTAGGTGGAATAACTGTTCCTGCTGTTTATTAAAATGGCTTTCAAAGCATGACTCCCGCTGGAGTTCATGATGGTTCAGTCTGGTCTAAAATATAAGGGCAGGTGAGGGTTCCAGTTAGGGGAGTGGAGGAGAGTGGATAAAAGCACGGAAGGAATATAAATAACCATTAAGATAAAATTATTCTGAATGACTTTAATATGAGAAACTCCCCAGAGAAACCAGAATACCCTGAATAGTTTTACTTTACTGCACGGTCTACACAATTTAGCATCTGGGAGTATATTCTTCACTTCTTTTACAGTTCCTCATGCGGAACTTTCTGCTCTTTAACAACACTGTAACCTTTTCAAAGGCAAGTGCGAGGTCTTGGAGCTGTAGCGTAGCTTCACTTTTCCCGGCATAGTGCCAGGCACCTAGTGAGTGTTAAAATGCTTGTTGATGCATATCTCGCCCGTGGAGGGGAACACACGAGGCTGCTCACAAGCCTGGGAAATGAGAAAGCACAGAGGGAAATGGCAACGAAAATTCAAAGCCGAAAGTGCTGTAGAAGCTGGGCAAGAGGATTACTCTGCTCTCCCTTTCTCCTCTGTCCTCGGCATTTTGCCTCCCAGAAGAGTCTGCGGCCCCTCCTTCCTCCTCATTACCTCCCTCCCGCTCTCTTCGTTGGACAGTGCACAATTATAAGAGGCAGGAGAAAGAAGAGCAGATCAAAGGGCCCTTCTGTTTTCTGAGATGAGGGGAGAGAGCAGAAGGTGGGTCTTTTGCCCCAACTTTGTGATGGAGGGAGAAATGCTGGTTTATTGTAACACAAGTGGTACCAACCAGTTAGTCCAAGTGTGATTACTTGTATTAAAACGTCAGTGTTACAAGAAAAAACAAACCGAAGGCACATCATTGCCTCTGCAAGCAATGATGACTAAACCCCTATTTCATTCCAGAGAGCTTGCGGTGATCTGAAAGTGCTTCGTAGAAACAATATTGCTTCAGTTCTTAGGGTGGCATTTCATAAATGAGTGAAAGCAAACTTGGAATGTTCCATTCTCATTTCTTTCTTGTGAAGGGGTAAGATGCAGCCAATGAATGGACTTCATACACCTAAAGTGAAGCTGTCAGCCTCGCAGGTACCCAGCTCCATGTAAGTGACTGTTTTCCTGGGAGACGTGCCGGCCTAATAGGCAGTGGTCCAGCCACAGCCTCAGGATAGGCTCCAGGCCTTCAGGGTGTGAGGAGCAGACTCTCAGCATCACAGGCTGTCAGCCACTCCAGATCTTCCCTAGAACGGACATGACCAGCTCTGACCTACCCCTTCCCCACCTGTCAGGTGCAAACGACCTTCTTGTATGCTCACGTGAAGCAGAACGAACTATATTTTCAGATATACTACACAGGCCTAAAAGCCAAGGAAAGACAGCTTCCCCAAATCTGTTTACTTTCTTTCAGAGGTGGCTCAGTCCAAGGACTCTGTTGTGAGATATGAGTGCTGCGGTGAGGAAAGGCACTGGGTAACTTATTTCCTGTGCCTCGGTCTATTCAGTTAATGGATGAGGATGAAAATTCTACCTCTTAGTCATTTGGAGAAAACAGAAAATAACATGTGAAAAGCAATTTAAATTTTTCTCAGGAGTTTTTTAAATTGTCATTAAATATTACAGACTAAAATAAATAACTTATTCTTTCAGCATTTCAAGAGCTAGATGTCAAGATGGAATAATTTAACTCTTAATGAACTAAGAGCCCTCAGATATGAGCAATGGGTTGATTCCATTAAAGAGGGTTAAAGTATTTCGTATTATTAAAGCTTATTATATTCCAAGGTTAACTGTCAGGAAGACAAAACAGAACACACGTATTCGCAAAGAACAGATAGAAAGCAAACAGGTTTTCATTCCAAACAGATGATGATGATTTAGCCAGGTAATTAGAGCTTATGGAAAACAAAACAAAACAAAAAATGAGCAACCACATTCCACTCCACAAACCCACATGCAGAGGCTCAACTCAACCCACGTTCACCAAGTGCCTCTCCAAGGCATGCTGGGCACACTGGGACAGGTGCTGGCCAAGACATGGGCCCTGACCTCCAGGGGCTCACAGCCTACCCTGGGGTGAGAGATACACATTCAAATGAACAGGGATCCAGAGCAGATTGTAAGAAGTGTCACAGGCCAGTTGGGAGAACCCTGAGGAGGAAGGGACTGCTAACTGGAGATGGCTCTGTGTGGAGGAGCTGGGAAGAGCTGGCCTTGGTGGGAGGGGAGGAGCTGGAAGGAGAGGTGCTTCAAAGGGTTAAAGATCTGGGGAGCCAGCGCATGTCTAATGGGGAGAAGAATCTTAAGTGGAGCAGAAGGGAAAATGTGCCCTTCACTGCTCCCTCTCTTTGCTCTGCATATCCTAAGCCTGTCTAGAGTGTTTCAGTGGGTATCATTCAGTTTTCTTTGTCAGCATCTTCACTGATTCAAGTTAACACAGGAGTTGAAAATTAAAGCTTTAAGGTGCAGGTATTCAGTAACTGTGCATCCTTAGACTAGATTTTGCTTGGGGAAGGTGCCTTTTGTAGAAATGCCTCAGTCATTCATTGCTGATGTGGTTATGAGAGGCCTATGACACTCAGGCTTGCCAGATTTAAAAGCCAGAGTCCTAGGGTGTGCTCAGAGCAAGGGGCATAAAGAAATGGATCCTTTGTTTATAACAACAGGAATCTGGGTTCATTGTGACGAGGGGCACAAAACTTGGGGCCTTCCTATGAACAAATACCCTACATGTGGCCCCCTGCACTTCCACATGGCCACTGGGCAGGGCCAGTGGACAGGGCTCAACACTGGAAGATATGCTGTAATATTTAGTAGGGGAACTGGCCAACTAGAGCCTGTCTGTTCCATGTGTGGGTGGGCCATGAGTGGTCTTATAGACATGAAGGCTTTGAACCTCTTTTCAAGGGAAAAAAGAAAGAGATTCCATACGCCATTCTGGAGTGGAGTTTTTTTAGAGCAGTGAAAATACTTTGTATGACATTGTAACAATGGATATCTATGTCATTATACTTTTGTCCAAACTAATGTGAACTGTGGACTTTGGTGATTATTATGTATCAAAGTACATTCACTCTTAGCTAAAAAAAAAAAAAGTACCACTCTGGTAAATAAAAATAATGACTGTGCATATGAGTGGAGAGGGGGTATATGGGAAATTTATGTACCTTCCTGTCAATTTTGTTGTAAACCTAAAAATGCTCCCCAAAAAAGCCTTAAAAACAAGAAAACTCAGGGTAGACATTTTTGGCAAAACCTTGGTTTCAGTTATATACATATATATGTGTGTTTGTTGGATTGTGATGTAATATGTATTTTTTAGGTCAAAAAAGTTTGCAAGCCACTGTAATTAAGTTACATTGGCAAACAAAAGTAAAAATTAACCTCAAAAATAAAATAACATAAAAGCCAGGGTCCTACTCAGAAACTTCTGTAACTGACCGAGAGTCTGAAAATCAGATACTTACCTGTTTGCCCTGCACTAAAACATTAGTAATGGATGGGGCCAGGCTGTCCACTAGTTTACTTAAAAGACTTGCTGCATGGCGTACCACCGACCTGGGGGCAAAGAAGAGAGCAGGCCAGAGGTTGACAAATCTAAAAGATGATGAATGAATGGAGCCCCTGAATGGGGAGACTTAAAAATATGTACAATCAGGTCCTCACATAATAATAGGGAAGAAACACTGAGCCCAAGATATTGGATCTAACAGCTAAAATCTCCTCGGCTACAGGACCATCTAAAAGTATAGAGAGGTCCCTCATCCTCACCTCTGCCACCAGATTATTCATACCATTAATAATTTAAAAATAAAGAAAAGGTCTCCCAACTACCCCTTTGGTGGGAAGCGGTCCAGGAGGCAGAAATGAGTAATCTTAATAAATGATCTGAATTAAATAGATCATTGTTAAGTCTGTCACTGGTACATACCATCAGTTCCAATAACCACTTTAAATCATGTTTCTTTTGGGGCCTAGATAACCAAATCCTGGATTAGAGGACTCACTAAGTACTCAATTTTAGGAAGTGATACAATGAAATACCAGCATTTTTTTTTCTTGCCAGAATGTTGGAGGAAGGAATTCACACTGTTATTTTTACATTTCTGAAAAAGTCTTAAACTGTAGGGAGAACAGATTTTTAAGCACAGCACATGCAATACATAAGACATTTTTTTTCCACTCAAAAGTAAAAATTCATATGGAACTTTCAGACGTAGAAAATAAAATGAAAATGCAGGTTTAAAACTGTTTTCTTGTATTTCAGGACATCCATGGAAGCTGACCTATAGAAACACTTACACTGCTTAATCTCAACATAGATGAACTAGTAGAAAATTTAGTCATGTCTGATAAAGTTAGTGAAACAAAGACTTCTTATGAAGCTTTCACCCACACACTATAAGAACAAAAGACATGTTTAACCCTTAGAACGCAAATAAGCCGACACGTTTCAAGCAGCTTGACTTTCCACATTTTGTGCATGTTACCTGTTTCCCATGTACCAGAAAAGTAGTAATGTGTGGGGCTATAGAGGAAGAAAATTTCTGGGTAAATGCAGCCCCGTAGCGCACCGCCAACCTGGGTGTGTCAGTGGAAAGCCATGAAAGGGAAAATACAGTAAATAAAACTTCTAGAAGTTTGTTCTTCTAAACATAATAGTCAGGACTCTAAATGTTTGGTAACGATTTATCTATAATGCAAGTATAAAACATACAGCAAAAATAGGTATGGTCAGCTGAAAATAAGACTACAGCCCACATTTGAAATTGACTGACTAAAAGGCAAAGGCTATTGGTTTGCGTGCCTTACTGTGCTGAGAATCTACAGCGAAAATTTGAGGCTTAACCACAGGATTATTACATTATTTTTTCTGGGTCGGAATAGTATATTTATTATAAATCATAGAGTTGAAATACTGTAAGAGACTGTTTTGTCTAATCCACTTATTTTAGAGATTAGAAAACTGAGGCTGAAGTTAAGAGAGTTTCCTACGACACTGCCTCAGACTTCTTTTTATTTCAAAACTAGATAATAATGGATCATTAAAAAAAAATACATATGTATACTCTCACTTTCAAAGTGTTAGATTCTGCTAGTAAAACTGTTAGAATTGCTTCAAAGATACAGAGGGCATGCATTTAGGCATACCTACCCCATTGTGAATTTAAACACTTTAATCTCAACTTACCTAATTTTTTATTGGAAGAGACTATCTCTGCAGAACATACCAGTTATTATACATTATGAAGCAATTACAATCACTGGGATTCATTCAATTTAAGTTGTAAGAGAACTACCTTCTAAGTATATTATTTTTTCGCTCATGATTAAACAAAACACTGGTCTCTTTCCATGACCTTCCACAACAGAACAGGTTTCCCAAACACAAATTAGAACCTATAGCAACTTGCTGGGACACAGGAAGTGCAGGGTGGGAATCCTCAGAATGTCATTTCAGTACATCCTCTCCAGGTTCTTTTCCTGTGGAAGTCTTTATTCCCAGCCATGTTTTAAATATCTTGGGAGAGCTAGGATAAAATGGAATGGAGGCAGGCTCACAGGGCTATAGTCCCGGCATTTGAAAGTAAAAATTAGGATGAAAAACCATCTTTAAGACTGGTCCATTATCTTTAGGCTATAGAATAAGACAACACAAAAAAAAAAACAGAATGACAAGGACGCTAATACGAACCAAAGTTTTTTGCTGCCAGCTCTTCTATAGATTCTCTCAATGTGATCAGAAACAGTACCTAGACATTGGATAATAGAGTCTTTGTTGAAAAAAGCTTTTAATTAAGTGCATAACATTTATTCTCCTTTAAAAAAAACACTCTTGAATTTTCATTTTGTTCTACTAGAGTTAATACCTCTGCCCATTTGTGTTCTGAACTACCTGACATATTTAAGTAAGTAACCCAAACATACCAGTGTGAATGTCCTCAGCCCTTGTTACAACTTAGTTTGAGTGTAATTTTGGTGAGTACTTTATTTCTTGAAATTTATTGTTTTCTTAATTAACATACAATCTAACTTTTTAATAAATAAAAATACCTTATTTTAATTGACTACAGAAAATAAAAAACAAAATACAGCAAATTGAACAACTACTTTAGACTCTGAATATATATAACTCTTCATTTATTTGTTCAAAAAAACTCTATGTTGATTCTAGTATGTGCACAATCATATACCAGGGCTCAAAAGACACCACTGGGCTTCATTCTTTGGCAGCAATTTACACGTGGTCTGGCCTCATGACTAGTTTATCAATAAATTAACCATGTGACAGGACAGAGCCCAAAAAAGGAAATGAGTAAAGAACAAGATTTTAATCATTTTACCCCGAACTTATTTTTATAGCTTTATAACAGACTGGATAAAATTTTATTTAAATTCTGTAGATGTTTATGATTTTCACAGTATAAGGTTTTACAGATTTATAACATTTAAAGTCTTTCAAATATCAACGAAAAGATACTATTCCTTAGTTTATAAAAATGGTTTAAAAATAATTCTCTCAGCATTTATTATAAACTGTTTTATATAAATTTTGCTTTATTTTAAAGTATTACTAAAATAACCATTCTGAATTCTAGGTTCTTAATGAAATGTTTGCTTTTTAATGATCTTATTATTTTCAAGTACAAGTTTTGATAAATGTCCTCAATATAATCGGGATTCTGTTTATACTTTCAGTTTCAAGATTAATTAGAAACAATCATAGATTCTGTTTGAAATTTGCTTAGAGTTCTTCTGCCTTTATTAAGTTAAAAATAATTAAGACAATTCAATGCACATGGATAATACCTATCTTTAGCTACAATAATGCAAAAACTAAGTAGATCTTATTTGAATAAACAATTATGTTTACTACCAGAACTATAAATCTTATCAATTACATTGCTATTTAGAATATGGCTCAATTTCAATTTTAACCAAATCAATATGCCTCTCTCAATAGAGGATTTTCAGATGAGCCAAAAACTTTGAGTAGCTAGACATTAAATACTTGAAATATATTCTACATTATTCTATATTATACAATGCTAGAAGTAGACCGTGATGTAGAATTCAAAGATTCCTCAACATACAAGGATGGATTTCAGATATGACTGGGTTTTATCCTTAATGCAGAGTAGACATGAACACAATTAGAAATGATCTATTTTTGTAAACAGTCTTTAGAGCACAATTCTATTAAATGTCATGTTCCTTTCCAAATGGCTTCCGCAGACCATAAAGGAGCTAATTTTTATAGCTATAATGATTCTGTACTGTTCTTGAAAACATACAGAAAATAAAACTGGAAACAGAAACTATCAATAACTATGGAGTCATTGGAGGTTAACAGTCACAGGCAGAATCCAGGCTCCAATATCATTCAGACAGAGAAACAATCAAGCATCACTGCATGAAAGCAATTTGGGAGTTCATACATCTAACAGACTACTCCACTCTACGGGGCATGAGTGAACATTTTCCACTTAAAAGGTTAAAAAAAAAACAGGTTTAATTGAGGAGAAAATAACTTGGAACATTTTAGTGGATATTCCTTACGCATATTTGATATATGTTCAAGAACGGAGAGGTCCTTGTATTTAAAAATGTTCCATTAGACATGTACTCTTACCATCCTTTGTGATGAAGTTGGGGCCTTCTCTTTTGAGCAGTATACCCAGCAGGATGGCTTGGCTAGCCAGGCAACTACAGTCCTGAAAATATAAATCACTATGAGTAACTGGAATGAAATGGATAAAAAAATTACCACAGAGAGTAACTAATCATGAAACCACATGATGCAAAGAGGAAATATTCTGCTATGCAACTGAGAAAAGATAAAATGTCACTGATACAGTACCAAGCACAAGATGACATTATACAACTATTTATCTTAGGTATCTTAGAGATGGAGGGTAGACAAGTTGGCTCCCTGGGGAAGTAGGATTTAATAAACATATTTTCCAGGAAACAAGATAAGTAATGAATAGAAAATATGTCATCTAATAAGCATTAATACTGATTCTAGGGAGAAGAGGCCAAGACGGCGGAGTAGTAGGACGCTCGTGGCTCACACTCTCCCACAGATACACCAAGACTCACATCCACGGACCCACTGAGCCAACCAGAGCACCTGCGGAACTCCGACAGAACACTGTCTTCTTCAAAAGACAAAGACGCCAAAAATCTGTTTTATTCCTACATAGGCGTTAGATAGATAAATAAATACTGATTCTAATGCTCTCTGAGAGATTTGGCCAAGTCATTTAGTCACTCCCTTTTTGACTTTATTTATTCAGAAAGGAGAGACTACGCTGCTGTCAACCCACTGTGGAGAGAAGAATGAAAGAAGGGGACCTATGCAGACTACTTATTGCATATGTCCCGTGCCTACTATATCATATTCATGCTTGTGCAGATCTATAGATAATATCGATCAGTTATATACTGATGATATCTGCCAGGATATCTATTTAGTCAATATGCTCAAATTTATATGGCCCAATAAGATGTCACTGTGTTTATAGCTCTACTATCGGAATGCCATTTCCTTTGGTAAGTACTACCCCCACCCCCACCCCTCTTCTTTTAAATTGCAAATAACCTTAGGGAAGGGGAAATACTAGGCTGCTAATGTAATATTCGTATGGCTGTAGTCATGGGATTGTTTTCCTCAGTGACTGGAGAGACTCAAAGCAAGCATTAGACCTAAACACTGGGACAGGAGAGAAGACTCAGGCTAAGAAAAGCAGAGAAAGGGCACTGGAAGAGAAATCTAGAGATCCCAAAGGCAACTGTCACTGACACAACTTCTTTAATGGGCCATGTAACACTTTCATACTCAAGACAAGCCAATTCATATCCCCACTCCTTAAGCATCTTTAGGACATCCGTGCTAATACTAGCAAATGAGAAGAACCTCATTTCCTGCCTCGGGTACAGACAGACCAGCTACCCCCAGGCTGATGAGCTGCTACCTTCTCTGGGAGGACAAAAAGAAATAAGGTTTGCCCCTGGGAGTCCCTGCTCTGCCAGCCTGACTCAGGACCATGTGGGAACTGCATCTTCCTCACATTCAGTTTTTGAATAATTTCGTGGGTGGGCTTGTTTCTCCACTCAGTAACGGCGACATCTGGCTGCTGTTCCCGTTCAGGAGCATTGGAGGTGCTGCTTTGTCGTTTGACTTTTGAATGTTTGGGAACTTGTAGTTCCTCAAAACTCTTAAATTCTGGAAGCCTAGAATTTAAAAGAAAAGCTTTCAGATTGCCTGAATTCCTAATGTAATCTCAAGAAACACAATAATACCCCAAAGGAACTTACTCTTCTGTGTCACTGATTCGTAAGAAGTCAAGTTGTTCCACCACAGCTCCGGATATTAACGTCTGAAACGTGATTGAAAAAAGATTCACAGCTCTTAAATGTATCAAGCCCTTGTGACCTTTGCGTATACTTTCCTGTAAGCGCATAATACTTAAAAAAAAGTTTACTTAAAATTTATACACGATTCTTAGGTAATCTTTAAATGAACATTCTAAAATCAGACAGGATTTCAGATGCAACACCCCTGACATAGAAAATACACATCAAGCTACAAGTTCATGAATCATCATAAATAGAATCACCATGAGATGAACTGATTTTTTCCCCT